GCTTTTTTCTTTTTTGCTTATGTGGTGCTGAGGAATCGAACCCAGGGCCTCATGCATGCAAGGCAAGCACTCTACCACTGAGCCACCTTCCCAGCCCCCTTGCACTTTTTTTTTCTTTCTTTTGTTGGTCGTGGGGCTTGAACTCGGCCTAGAAGCTGTCCCTGAACTCTTCAGCTCAAGCATAGCCCTCTACCACTTGAGCCACAGTGCCCCTTCCAATTTTCTGGTGGCTAATTGGAGATAAGAGTCTCACAGCTGTACCTGCTCGGGATGGCTTTGAACTGTGATCCTCAGATCTCAGCATCCTGTGAGCCACCAGTGCCTGGTTCCTTGCACTTTTTTTTTTTTTTTTTGTCGGTCGTAGGGCTTGAACTCTGGGCTTGGGCGCTGTCCTTGAGCTCCTCAGCTCAAGGCAAGCACTCTACCACTTGAGTCACAGCGCCATTTGCGGTTTTCTAGTGATTTATTGGAGATAAGTGTCTCACAGGCTTTTCCTGCCTGGGATGGCTTTGAACCGCGATTCTCAGATCTCAGCTTCCTGAATAGCTAGGATTACAGGTGTGACCCATGGAGGCCCGGCTTCCTTGCATTTTTTGAAAGCTAAGCTTGTCTAAGATGAGTACCTACCCTTCTACACATAAGATGTCCCTCACTTAACCTCTCAAAACAGGAATAGCAGAAAATCAAAGGAAGACAGCTCTGTAGGCTGAACTTAGCATGGAGCCAGATGTTGTCCCTCATTGGCTCTACTGTACTCCCCTAGCCAGTCCCTGCCTAGCTGGCACTCTGCAAGCAGCAGGCGACCTAACAAGAAAGCAACTCAAAGGGAACAATTAAAGCTGTTGGTGCTGGTGACTCAGATCTGTAATCCTAGCTACTCAGGAGGCTGAGATCTGAGGGTGGCAGTTCAGAGTCAGGTGGGGCAGAAAAGCTCGTCTCTTATTTCCAATTAACTACCAAAAAATCTGGAAGTGGAGGTGCGGCTCAAGTGGTAGAGCATCAGTCGTGAGCAAAAAAGCTCCCAGATAGCACCCAGACCCTGAATTCAAACCTTAATACCTGCACAAAAATAGTAATAATAATTTTAAAAACTGGCTTGGAATAACAATGACTTTCAAGTTGTGGTGCAGCTGTTATTGTTTGCCTACCATGACTAAGGGGCCGTGGGTTTGTCCCCAGCCGGGGGGGGGGGGGGGGAGGGAAGAATCATTCAGAAGACAAGGCAACACAGCAGGTGCTAACTAGCTGTCTGAACTAGAGACCAGCATGTAACTCTTTGTTCAGCCAAGTGGGTTCTCCAGCTGTCTTCCCAAGTAAAGAACAGTCCCCTCCTCCCCAGTTGCTGCTGGAGGGATCTGAAAGCCTCTGACCACCTGCGGAATCAACAAAAAGGCACTGGCACTGGGACTCACATCTAGGCAGACACGATCCACGAAGGGGCATGTGCAATGAAACATACCCCAAGGAAAATGTAGCTGGGGACGGGCCCGGGAATTTGCATTCTCGAGCAGACCTGCCACGGATTATTCCAACGAGCCAGGCTCTCCCCAACCCCTCACCCCATCCAGGGCTCCAGTTTCGGGAACTTCCCAAAGGGATCAAAAGGACAGCCCAGCCCCCACCCCCCGCCTCCCAGCAGCCTCTGGCCATGGGTCGGGCGCCCCTCGCCCAGAGCGCGCGGTGACCGCGACTACCGGGACAAAAGCTCCCATTACCGCCTGCCCCGGCACCATGCGGCCGCACGCCAAGCTGGGCGCACGCGCACTGGGCCATCGCCCGCCGAGAGGGCCAGCTCGTACGCGGGACGCACGCTCGTACGCA